TTTGCCAGTAATATTTGCCTGCAGATAGCATCTAAAAATAAGAAAATATGCTTTAACCAGCAAACCAGGCTGTAAATGGTTTGCATCTCGACATGGATTTAAAAAAAAGGGATGTAGCACTTCCTAGTATAGCTTTTTTAGCTACTTACTCTTTAATTGCATTGTTTCTCAAATACATGAACAAACCCCGAGTGTGCTCCAGAGCAGAGCCTGGTGGTGACCGCACTTGCTCTGGCCTCAGGATGAGGCTGCCAAGCCAGGAAACAGCATTGTTGCCTCTTCCAGAAGAGGCACCTGCTCTTGCTTGAAAAATTCAAGTACAGTTCTCCAAATCAGTTGTTTTCAGAGGGTCCTTGAAGTGCCCATGCGAAGAAACTCCTGACAAGTCTCCTTGCTCTCTCAAAGGAACATGCCCAAAGAGGGACCCTCTTTCTCCCCAGCACTGTTCTGTCTCTACTGAAGCCTGGGGTGCCCACCAGCCCAGGGCTGAGGCCCCACACCGAGCAGCAGAAGAGCAAGGAACAGCACGGACCACACTGCAGCTGTCCATCCACCAGACCTGGCAACGTGCACAAGTCTCCCAAGTGTTCCGCTCACCCTGAGCTGGGTTCCATTCTCTGTCTTCCAAACCAACCCAGCTGACGCATGCCACATCCATACCCAAATTCATGATCATCGTTTGCTTTCTCCTCCAAATGGTCCACAGACACCATTACTTCACATGTATAATTATTACATTCAATTATTACTTTAGTGTCTGCACTAGATCCATCCCATGTAAAGTACCCTGAGCTTTGTTGCTGAATATGTTAGTTTGGTCCCACCAACTGGTTACAAACCAAATTACTATTGTGCAAGTTACCTTAACACCCATGACAGTAACCACAGACATAACACCCCAGACAAAATTTCATAAAAAGCAATAGTAACTGGATATCTTATTTTCTTCTTAGGAAAAAAAATTATCATCACAATGATTAAGAGTCAAATAATGCTCCAAACCTAAATATTTCACATCTTCCTTAGGCAGATTGAGCTCAGTGTTTAAAATCCAGCCAGGAAATGTATCGGTCTGATATTGCTAATAAACTTTTCAACAACTGCTACCTAGGATCAAGAGAGCAGTGAGAGGGAGGGGCAGCAGCCTGATCACTTTTTAATCACCTCACTCCAAACAGCAGATGGGCTTCAGAGGACAGCGTGTGAGCTCCACTTCTGTCCACATGCCCATTCTCCCTGTGTGAATCAAGAGGTCTGGGTGGTGCTTTGGTCAGCTTTTCATTGCTATGACCAGAAGACCTGACAAGAGCCGTACAGAGGAGGAAATGGTCAGTCTGCCTCATGGTTTCAGAGGTTCAGTCCATGGTCAGCTGACTCCATGGCTCTGAACCCAGAGCTCATCACGGTGGGAGGGTGTGGAGGAGGAAAACAGCCCACGAGGTGACAGGAAGCAGAGGGAGAACTCCACTCACCAGGGACAAAATAAACCCCCACAGGCACACCCCCAGTGACGCACCTGCTGACAGTTACCAGCCAGTAAATCCCTATCAGTATGTCACTCCAGAGACTAGGTTACAGCTCTCACAACCTAGCCTTTTCACCCTGAATGTTCTTGCATCAACTCACCAGATCTTTTGGGGGGGGACCCTCCACACCTAGGCCAGTTACAGGTAGGTAACTGCATACAAGCAGATCATCAAGATGCGTCAAGGCAGATCTATGAATCACTGTGCTACCGTCTGGATCTTAAACGTCCCCCGGAAACCCGTAAAGGCTTGGTCACCAGCCTGTGGTGCCATTGGGAGGTGGTGGAACCTGTAGGGGTAGGGCTTGGTGGGAGGAAGCAAGGTTGCTGGGGACTGCCCCCAAAAGACATTGGGAACCCCTGCAGTTTTTATCTTTGCCTTCTGAGCACTGCAAGGTGAGCAGCTTTCCTCCACCACTTCTCACTGCCCTGGATGCTCTGCCTCACCACAGAACCAAAACCACAGAGCCAGGCAACCACAGCCAAGAGACACTTCCTTCTATCCAGGCTAATGATCTCGGCCCTGCATTTTATCAACCTGACCCCATCAAGTCACCAGCCACTTGAGTTGAATTCACTTTGTTGCTTGTGAGAAAGGGTGGCTCCTGTCCCAGTGCCAAGCAAGTTGTCCCATCCGCCATGTCAACCCCAGCAGGAAAGGCACTGTCCGTTTGGTCAGGAGGCACCAACTTGTTGTAAGGGATTGTTGGGGGACTTTGGTGAGTTGCCTGTTCATCCTTCCTGCAGGCATGTGGAAATAACCTGGCCCACACTCATTTAATATCCGTATTCTAGTAAACTAGGTTGTTACTATCCCACACTGCTCAAACCTCTGTCAGCAGCACCATTTTCTAAATCCACACCTATGCCCTATGTGCACTCTGAGCCTGGCAAGGTCACATCACCGGCAGCAGGCTAAGCTGTTCTGCATTATGGCTCACCACACTGTCTAGGAAGCTGGTGATGCCTCCCGTGGGGTTCGGACTGTGAAAGAGTGTTTTCAGCATTCAAATCCCTTAGACATGCAAATTGTACTTCTGAAACAGCCAGAGTCACAGGCAGCGCAGAATGATTCTTTATTACTAATCTGCAACCTCCATGAGGCCAGGGCTCAGGCACCATCTCTCCTGCTCTAAGGCTGAAGCCACTGGAATGGCAAGGCCTGCCCAAGCTCACTGAGAACCCACACTGCCCAGGCTTGACTGAGACCCCACCTTGCTCAATCTGTCCAAAGGACCAATCTGTTCGAAGCTTTTCTCCAGAGGAGAAAGATAAAGCTCTAAGAGTTGAAGAGTCTCACCCAATACTGAGTGCTGAAACAGCACCCACATTTTTGTTCCCAGCGTCACTGAACTGCAAGAGCAGGAAAGCCACACAATCAGAGCACACCAGTCCTCTCAAAACAGGAGCTATGCTGAGCCAGACCCGGCCATGACAGGTAGGTGGCTCTGGTTAACAGTCAGTCCATTAGTAGGCAACACTGCCTGTCCTGGTCTTCGGAGGTAGGAAGGGCATTTACCACCCACCTTGGTGGTTTCTTTGTTCTTCTTGTGTTCAGGCATTTAATACATTACTATGCAATGTCTGTCTCCCCCCACCCCCAGTTACTAGGACACATAGGCATTGAAAAAATTTGAATCACTATCCAACTGAAGGCGGAAGGGGTGCTGGAAATCCAGTGCCAAGCTACTCCTCTCATTAGGGATGTACAACTCAAAGTGATATACATCTGTGAAAGAGCAGTAGATCACTATAATTTTCAAACTTTGAATTCCTTTTTTAGTATGTTTTTATATAATTTAAGAAATTGGATATTATTTCTTAAACATTTAGTCCCTAATCTGTCTCCACCGTCATCTACTTATAAAACTAAAACTAATTGGAAAATGAAAAAAAAAACTATCAATGCTTGCTAGATATAAAGTTTTGCTATAAATAATCTCTTACGGTAAATGAGACAATCTCAAGGCTCTTTGCTTGATACCACCTCCAACCCTTCACACCCACATGGATGTCCCTCCTGGGAACACAATGAGTGTTGACTTCATTCTCTGGGATTAAGGACAATTGATCCCAACCTTCCTGTCACTTTGCTTTAGCTGACGCACAGATAAACAGAAAGGGCAGGGCTCCACTTCATGCAGCTCTGCCCCACCACTTGGGTGAAAAGCAGCCAATTTTTTTTTAAGAAGAAATTCAAACTTTGAAGGACATAAGGTTTTTAATTTCCTAGTTGTTATGGAAGATAAAAAAGCTATTATTAAACAAAACCCCAACAATTCAAAATGAAGCACCATCTTAAGGCACACTGTTATTTACATGCAAGTTATTGATGCGCTGCTTTTATTACTACCAACCTAAACCATGTTACTGAGCCCCCCACCCCATCCCCTGCACACCATCAACTCATCCCCATACTGGACAAGGAGCTTATAGAGCCAAATCAGACTCCAGGAAACATAGCTGCTTCTTTACTAAGATGGCTTCCAGTCCTCCCTCGGTCCCTCTCCCTCAAGCCTTGTTTACCACACTGCCACCCAAACACACCTTGTATCTAGGCCTAGGAGTTTTGCCATACTTTTCAAACACAAACAAATGATGGGATACAGGCAAAAATCTACCACATTTTCCCCCAAATTCGGGTCTAAAGAAAGGAAGGAAGGAAGGTTGGTGGTTGTCATGTTAGATGACAATTACAGTCGATGACAATAGTATCTTCCTTTCTAAAAGGAGTAATTGGCGACTTGTAGCACGGCTTGAGCCTGTAATCCCAGCAGCTCCGGAGGCTAAAGCAGGAGGAATGCGAGTTCAAAGCCAGCCTCAGCAATTTACCTAGGCTCCAAGCAACTCGGCCAGACCCTGTCTCAAAAAAAAAGGATTAAGTTCCCCTGGGTTCAATAACTGGTTAAAAAAAAAAAAAAAAAGTTGAAATTGGCAACTTTGTCTCCTTGACTTTGCTTCCTTTAGGTAAATATCATAAAGCCCTCAAGGCAAACTGACCCAGAGAACAAACCAACATGCACACATCCACCTTCAGCGGGGCACACCCTTCGCCCCCCCCACACACCCGCACAGGCCCCCCACAGGTACATCCACCCACACATCTGTCCACGCCCATATGTCCCCCACAAGCCTACCCGCTCATAACCTACACACACCCATGCTCCTCCGCACACCCCCCACACACCCACAGGCCCCTCACAAGCGCACAAACACCCCCAAAAGTCTCCACGCACGCGACCCAGGGAGCAGCAGAAGCCAGCCGCATCTGCAGACCCCGAGCTCGGCACGGAAGCCGTCTGTTCTGACAGCCTTCGCGCTCACTCCCAGCTGGGACCTGCGGGGAACGCACCTTCCAGGTGGCTCCGCACACCCCACCGCTCCAGAGTCCGCAGCCTCCGCTGGCCCCGGCCGCCCACGCCCTCCCCGCGGGGCCGCTCCAGGCCAGCTCGCGCCGCGGGCCCCCGTGACTCACCGCGCGGGCAGCCGCAGTAGCCCCAGTCCGCCTGGCCGGGGGCGCTGCGGTAGAAGCACCAGGGAGCGCCCGCGCCGTCGGGGCTGCGGCAGAAGTTGTGGCGCTGCCCTCGAAGCGAAGCCCAGCCCTCCGGGGGCGGCCGCTCCAAGAAGGCGGGCACCTCCGCCCAGGGCAGACACCGGGCGCCCCGGGCCGTCTCGTGGATCCCTGGCGCGCCGCCGGGGCAGACGCCGCGGAACAGCCCGGGAGCGCGCCGGGCCCGGACGGCACGCGGGAGCGGCGGGGAAGTCCCGGACCTCCGCTGCGGGGTGGGGCTGGAGTCCTGGTGCCGGGGACCCGGAGGGGGCGGGTGGCGGTGGTGCAGATACCCCCGCCTCGGATCCCCGCTGACCGCCTCGGCGAGAGCCCCTAGCATCAGCGCCAGCACCAGGCTGGCGAGCGTCATGGTGCCGGCGCTGCGGGGTTTGGTCCGATCCCCGGGCTCGGCGGGTGCTCAGAGGCGGAGCAGGCCCCCTCCCAGCCGGCTCGCGGACGCCGCCTCCCCGCGCCTCCGGGGGCGCCGGGGTCGCGAGCTCGCGGAAGGCGGGTGCCGAGTTCCGGGCGCCTAAGCGCGGACGGGGATGTGGGCCAGCGCGGCGGGGGGCGGGGGCGGGGAGAGCCGCAGCAGCTGCGGGTCCCCTGCCGACCCGGTGGTCCCGGGTCGCACTGCCCCTCCGCCTGGTCTCTACCCTGACCGTGTCGTGCTTTCTCTGTTTTTCAGTCTTTAGAAAAGTGTGGATGAAAGTGGATGCAGCTCTGCCTGGCCACCTCCCAGAGGCGACCTTATCAGAGCGCGAGGGGAGTGTTCCAGCCTCCTGCTGAGCTGGGAGCTCTTCAAGGACAGCACCACATCTAGCTCAGCTTGGTGCCCGGTGCTTAGCCCCGTGCCCAATCCATAGTGCCGACATTAAATTCCTGACCCGACCCAGGGAAGGAGCTGGAGCCCTCCTCTTCCCGCCTCCCACCTCCCCCTCGCCTGGGACAACGCCAGTTACTTGGTTATTACTGGGATTCGGCGAGGCCCTCTTCCTACCGAAAGTCCTCCGTAACCAGAGGATGCTTCAACCATCCGGGCCTCCATCCCATGCAAGACTGTGTCCTCCCAGCGCCTGCCGGGTTTTGCAGGACAAGCTATTTCTTAGCCTTTGGGAGGTGCGCTCCGCCTGCGGCACTTCTGTAGCCTCTGCTCCCCGAGCTTCGCTGAGTAGGCCCTTCCACCCGCCTCCGTCCAGGATTAAGTCAGCTTAGAATGTTCAAGAAGTTGACTGGGGAGGAGGTTTTAGAATTTCCCGTTCAGTTGTTCTGACAATGCAGCCAGAGTGAACCGAGGAAAACCAAGGTAACGTTTGACTTTTTGCGTTGCATTGCGGGGGAGGAACAAGCGCTGAGAACACACCCCGAGGGAAACGCAAACCAAGTCTAATGTTTGCTGTTAGGACAGAGGTTTCAGTTAGGAGCCGAATCCTTTACTCAAAAACCTGATTTTGCTTAACTTTTGTGAATCATCTTATTGGAATCCTTTTCACTCTTATTAACGAAATATTTGATTTTACTTCAGAGAGAATTGGTCTTAGAAATGCAGGAATGTATTTGTTAAGTCTTTATTCAAGATTTTTGCTGCTGTTGTTCAAGATGCATTGTTTTACTTTTTACTAATATTCTTCAGGCTCCAAAAGCACAGTTAAACTGTCCTTGTGGAAGAAACTGAAAGATGTGGTCTGATTGCTTATTTTAGCAGGAATTGAGTTGGAAAACAAGTTTTAAGCATGGTGGAGATAGTTCTGATCAGTCAGCCCCTCTCCTCTGTCCTCTTTTCCACCCTGGGCTGCGGTGTGGCCCTGGAAGGCTCCTGAGATTCAGTCCACTGGCTGGCTTGGACCCTGCTCCCCCACCACCACCCCAGGATCCCAGACTTCACACTGCCTGAAATGCTGCAAACACAGCCACTTCCCACACACCAACCCTCCCTTCAGAGAGGGGGAGTGAAGAGAAGAAAGGGGGACGAAAGGGAAGATGTGGAAACTGATCTCCAGAGAGAAGCAGGCCTTGGGCAGGGCCTGTATGGAAGAGGAACAAGACTCCCCAAGGCCTGCTCACACGAACAGATTGTGAGATCAAGAGCATAAAAATGGAGTCATCGATGGAAACCCCTATCTGGAGTTCATCATTTAAGTGTTACAACGTATCCTTCTTAGAAAACAAAATGGCATTTATGTAATTGGAGCATGAATCTGAGGGCCTCAATCTGGGTCTTGCTTCCTATTTTATAGTCATAGTATGACTTAAATAGCTGTGTTCCTTATTGGCTTCTGCCCTCCTCTGTTAACACTTTCCCTTCCTCTAGTCTTCCATTTTCCACCACAGCTACCCACATGCAGGTGTTTAGTATTTCCTAGTTACTCAAACTATACACAGAAAAGGAGAAAAATATGCATATGTATGTGTCTCCAAAAGGTGGTCTCACTGGCCTTGGAAACAAACCTGCGCTCAGTCTGGCTGCAGACCTAAGCCATGGTGGGGCACTAGATATGCTCTCCAAGGCCCCTGAGGGACAGCTCTCTGCCGGGCCAACAGGAGCACTCCCTGCAAGCTGCACAGCAGAGAACACCTGAAGGTCTACCTCAGGGAAAAGCACAGCCTCAGGGTCCTGATTCCAGCCCTCACAGTGTCACCTGTGTGAATCCACCTTCCAGAAGCAGGGCAGGCCAGCTGACCTCCCGTCACGCCCTGGCTCTCTACTGCACCTCAGTCACTCCCACTCTGAGCCTGGCAGGCAGGAGGCTGCCTGCTCTGCCCACTTAGCCATGTCCCTCCTCCCTCCCCACTTTCCTTCTCAACAGCTTTTGTCCCTAAAGCCAATGAAATACGAAGAATGTCATAAGATGTCTCCTTGAGGAGTTTGGCCAAGTGTCATGAGTGCTTTCCAGTCCTGCAGCCATACTGTAGCTGCGAGTGAGCTGCAGCCACATAAGTGAAGGGCAAACAGAGGAAATGAAGAGCCACTCTGAGCTGCTTGCCCGTGACTGGGGTGACAGGCATTCAGAGTTCCACCTTCCCATCAAATGCAGGAGTCCTTTTCAGAGCTTCCTGGTAGTGGACCTCCACCCATCTCCTGAAAACTAATCATGAGGAATGCCTGTTGGAAGCTACATGCTTCAGACCTACGAGTCCAGAAATGTCCTCTCCTCTGGGGCCAGTTGATCCCCAGTAGAAACCCCTCACCCAGATGCACTTCTGGTTCCCATCCCGCCCCACCCCTGCGCGGAGGGAACAACCTGGTCCTGCAGAGCTGGGCTCACACGGGTTATCGTGACTGCTTTAGGGCCTCAGAGCATGCTGAAGACCCCTTTGCCCGCCCCTCCCTCTGGGAGGAGGTGCAGCTCCAGAACATCAGCCACTCTCTGTCACTTGGGCCCCTTAGCAAAGTTTCTCCCTGAGGTGTGAATGTAGATCCATTCCTGATTCTCCCCCCTTTTGCTCGTGTGTTTTTCTTTGGAATCTTAGGAACGATAATAAAGCTGAGATTTGGTGTAGGTTGAGGTAAAAGGAAGGAAGACAGGCCCTTAACTGCCAGGCCTGGCTCCCAAGAAGCTATACTAGGGCTTGGGCAAAGCCCAGCATGTACTTGCCTGGGACCTCATGGGACAGAGATGGGGACACAAAAGTAGAAGTCAGGGACTCCACTTCCTGGTCACCATCAGCCTGGGCGAGCCTCTCCAGGCAGGGGTGGGCTGTCTGCACCGTGGAGGTGACAGTGCTGCTTGGCAGAGTTTGAGGATAGAACCTCTTTGCTGAGCACAGGACGCTGACCAAATGGCCACTCTCTGAGTATGCGAGGATGCTGCTTCTCCTTGACTAAACACACCACCGTCCCTCTCCTGCTTCTGACTTTCACACTGTATGCTGGACTCAAGTGTGGAAATGGCCTCACTCAACCACAGTTCATTGTACTAAAACCACGCTCAGGGGTTACTCGAGTGGTGCAGGTTTCAAGGGGAGAGATTTCAGACACCATACTGTGATGGCATGTGCTTCCTCACAGCCTGACCGGGGGAGCACAGAGCTGCCTGAACTCCTACCATGTCCTTTAAAACCCATTCAAACTTCGAGGTTTTCCAAATCAAATTCTGTTCTCAGATATGTGTATCACTTCACATCACGCACACATCGTTCCAGAATCCTCTTCACAACAACCTACTAATGGAGAGGAGCGTGCCCCCACAGCAGCTGGCCTGAGTGGCCACTGACAGGCCATCACTGGACACATGAAGTCTGATAGCTGAACATGGATGAGGGTCCTCATGCTCTGTCATGTGGAGTGTCGAGCCTAGAACAGAAGTCATGGAGCAGCACCCAGTAGGGTGGATGTGCCATCCAGGTATGTTTTCCTTGGTACAAGAATCATTTTAGAAATGGAATTTTATGTATTTTTTTAAAAATTAGTGGTTAATATAAAATTAAAGTTTACTAGCTTCCCTTGCACATATGTTAGAATGCTTTTGACTGCAAGTAAAATAACCCTCAACTCACACTGCCTTTACAAAGGCCTGGGTGGTCTCAGACTATTTCTGAGATTCCTGGGATTGATTGCTTTAGGATATAACTGTGCTATTGGGGTCTCAGACTCCCTTTTTCTCTCTGTTTGGCCATCTTAATGTTGGCTTCATCTGCAGAAAGCCAGCAAATGTCAAGGCAGAGCCTCTGTTCAGAGAATAAAGAGACTTGTTCTTTCTGAGCCTCTCTTATAGAAGCAAAATATCTTTCCTGGAAGATGCCCCTGGCATGTGGGCTAGAACTGGGTCACATGTCTCTCCATGAAACATTCCCTGGCCAGGAAGAGACACTTCCACTGCTTGGCTTGGATTCATTGCCTAGGGCACAATTGATGCTTGGAAATACCGGCCCATGTGTACCACACCGTAAAAAGCCAAAGGTCTGGCCATGTTGCAACCAAATTCCACAGAGTGACAAATGTCTTTAGCTTCCCCACCTTTGGACCTAGAGAACAGTCTCTGCTCTCCATGGGCCCCACACCTGGCCTTTGTCAGAATTTGGTTTGCCACACCTTGTTCATACTTCTTCATCTGGGGAATTTCAGCTGTTTTGATGTTTGTGGGTACCTGAGCCTATAGATTCCCTAATGGTGAATGGATAATGGTGATAGTTGTCTATAGTGATGTGACAAGCTGTCCCATAACTTAGTGGCTTAAAACAAGAAGTCTTTATTAGGTAGAGGGTCTCTGGTCTAATTCGGAGGTCTTTGATCCACTTTGAGTTGAGTTTTGTGCATGGTGACAGACAGGGGTTTAGTTTCATTTTGCTTCATGTGGATTTCCAGTTTTCCCAGTACCATTTGTTGAAGAGGCTATCTTTTCTCCAATGTATGTTTTTGGCACCCTTGTCTAG